ATTAATATGAATTTATAAACATTTAAGAATACACACAAAAAAATATATCAAACTGTAAAGTATGTTTCTGATAATATTTTACAGTGTGATCAATTTCAAATTAATTTCTGTACGTTTCACAATCATCAATTTTTCTATCCGTAGTTTTATTAATTTTTATCAAAGCAAACAACACACACAATCCCTTTTATTTTTCTACAAACATTTTATACTAACAATAAGAATTATTCTGAGAATTTGATTAGTAACTTGGGACACACCATTTTTGTATCTGTATTTTTCAATTTGTATTGAAAACTTGTATCTTTGACAATTAGAAACTGGCTGGTTAAATTCAATTTTTTACTTAAACAATAAATCAAACGAGTTTGTTAAATAAATTAGCCGATCCTTTTCGAAGATTTGCAAAAGAGAACGAGAAAGAGTGGGGAGGAAGCTTTACGGTGTACCGTATAACCGCAATGTTAACAAAATCATATTAATGTATAATTTCCTGGCCGATTTAATTACTGAGCTGAAATTATACCTCCATTCGCTTACGTTCTCATCATCTTCGAACTATCCTCATTGTTATTACAGAATATTAATGTTTTCTACAGTTGAAAATTACCATTTATACAAACTCATTTCAATTCCTTTTAGTCAAATTCTTATTTATAAATATTATACATAATTTATATTTTTAAGAAAAAATTAAGGTTACATTTATGATTTATTATAATTACAATATGTAATTTCTTAAGATCTGTATTATTTATTTGAAACAAAGTATTGGATTCATTATTATTCGAATAATAGTTGAAACAAATTTATATGAACTTTTAACCTAATTTTATCTTCTAGAAATAATCTCAATAATTTGTAGGTTATGTATATTGATTCTGATCAAGATAAACTCATATTTAATTGTTTATTATATTGATTATTTCAAAATAGAAATTGATATCTCCCCCCTCAACCCCTAAAAAAAGGATCAATCAATAAAATTCTTAATTATAGGTTAGGAATGAATGAGAATGTGTGTGAGAAAAAATATGAAAGATTTGAAAACGTGTCAGTCATGTGTATCTGATTGAAAATTCAATGAAAATTCTAATGTTACTTAAATATGTGTATGTGTACGTGTACGTGTAAGATCAGACAATTAATATGAAATATTTTCAAATTAGTAAGTTGTATGAGTGTGTGTGTGTGTGTATTTGAGATGCATTCAATACACTTATAGTGAGATTCATTTGTTTATGGGTGTGAAGATCGTAAAAGGTTTTATTGTTCCCCAATAGTTCCAGGTATAGTGCTGAATCTTTTATTGCGGTTGGGTCATAAAGATACTAACAATAAAAGGGTTAGTTTCTTGAGAAAAAAAAAGGGTATATAAAAGGTTGAATATTGTATTTATCTGATTTACAATACGACCCTAAGAATTCTTCTGAAGATACTGTCATATGGTTTTCATTTTATCTTTGGTGTGTACCATCTTCTTCAAAAATATCAAGTTCCTTTAAGAGCTTTAGGGATTATTCGAAATATTTGTTCTTTTGTAAGGTTTCAAATTTATCGAAGAAGAATTTGTGAAAAATACGAAAGAAATTCCATCATTTTTATAACCCTTCAATTTACACATCTTTTTGGTTATCGAAATATCTGAGATTGTATCTTTAAAATTATCTAAATTTGTTACATAAAAGTATTTTCAAGGAATGGAAGGTTTTAAGAAACAAAAAAGGGAGAATACAGTACAAAAATTTGGGCCCAAAAAGAGAATATAAGAATGAGAATATAAGACGATAAATCACATCATATTTTTTTTTCTATTCCAATTGATCCCCTTGTATTGCACAACACGTGAGACTGATGGTAAAAATAATTGGGCCCAAAATGAGAATATGGGAGTGAGAATATAAAGGGTGAGAAGACTATAAATAAAAGAATTTTATATATTTTTCTTTTTATTACAATAAAAAGGAATTTTCTTTTGCAACAAAACTTGCTATCCTTGTATTGCAACATAGTGTGAGATTTGTGGTAACAAGAATTTGGGCCCAAAATGAGAATATAGGGGATAAAAAATACATGAGGGATGAGAATATAAGACTATTATTCAAATAATTTTATTTCTTTATTTTTCTATTAAAATTAATCTCCTTGTAATGCAACAACGTGTGAGACTCGTTGAGGCCCGCAACAATAAGCACGAGTTAGACTCGTGATTACATTTTTTTTACTTTAATTACGTCTAATTATTATTATTATTATTATTGCTGGATAAATCGAGAATTATTGGATAAAACAAATAATTAATTATAAATCAAATAATAAGAAAGAAAAAAAACTTTTAAAAACATAAATTATTTCAAGAGACCGATATACAATAAACATTTATATGATTGTCAATTTAAATAGATTAGAATTGGTCGGATAAATGAATGAAATATTAAATGAAGCGTGCAAAGGTGAGCTTTGAGCCGAAGAAAATCAATAAGAGCAAGAACAATCTTGAAAATTCCACTTCCCTCCCATCTTTCATCCTTTCACCCCCTTCAACCCCCGAATGGTAACCGTTTAAATATGTTTTCGTGATACATCGATACGAATGTCTCGTTTTATCGGATTTATTGTAATCCATTGACTAGATGACTGTGGAATTATGATTCGTCGTTTAAAAACATTTTAGTAACACGCGATCACGCAAAGAGTATACATGCATATATATACGTATATTATTAATAAATATTATTTATATACGTCCATTTTATTTTTTTTATTTTTCACTCTCCATTGTGCACAGACTTGTACTAAATTGGCAAAGAAAGAAATAATAAAACAAAAAAATTGATAATTGTAAAAATTTAATAATTGTAAATATTTATATGTTGTAATATATATACTTTTTTATTTAAATATTATAATATTATAATATTTATATGTTTTAATATAGTTTTTTTATTATTATCTAAATATTGTAATATTTATATATTTAAATAATTGTAAATATTTATATATTGTAATATATATTTTTTTTATTTAAATATAATAATATTTAGATAATTTTAAATATTTATATATTTATATACTAAAGTAAATGTTTTTTTTATTTAAAAATTTTTGGAAAGTACAATCTGGGATAAAAGTACTTGAAAATTGAAAAATTCGTCGATATTTTAGTTTTACAGAAAGTTATGTTAAAAGTATCAACGATTGTGTTAGATTTTTTGTCAATTTTTTTTCAATTTGTTTTAAACAAAAGTACCAAAAGAGAAAATGTTTTAATAATAATAATAAAAATAAAAAGAGAAATAGAAAACGATAAAGTAAACTAACACTCGAAATCAATCAATTGTGATTCCCTTGAGAAACATTTGTTGAGATACTTGTTGCTCTGAAATACCTTGCACGTTGTATTATTTCAAAGAAAAGGAAAAGGGAATACGAGAGGAAATATCGATTTGAAATAGAAAAAAAAAGAAAAGCATTTTCAAGTTTCCAAGTTACTAACTTTCTAGTTTCCTCAGCGATTTCTAAAGCTTTTTCTCTCGTTTCGTTTAGTTTCGTTTCATTTCATTTCGTTTTTCTTTCGAAACTTTAGATTTTAAATATTTTTATTTTTATATACATATATATATAGTAAGTTTCGAACATCATTGGAAACCAACAACGTGATTCTGAATTTTTATATACAAAAATATATAAAATAATAATTATTCAACTAGGACTATACAAAGTTGATTAACCTAATTTAATTTAATCAATTAGTTAATAATAAAGAGTATTGTTCAATTCAACGTAGACAATGACAAATATTTTTCAAATTATCGCTTCATTTCGTACAACTATTTAGGTTAGTTTTATTTTTCTTACCATTAATTACCATAAACAACCGAGAAAGAGAGAGAGAAAGAGAGAGGAAGAGAATGAGAGAGTGACTTTGATAAAGGATCCCTGTTGTTGAGAGAGAATATTAATTTGTCGATAATGAAAGTAGCAGAACATAGGCTTAATCAAATTACATTGTCCAAGTATTAGTGATTCCAAAAATAGTAGTATGCGTTTCACGTCGCTTATGTGAGTGCATTTGCTTTCGTTAGAGTTTAATGTTACCATCGTTACACCCTTCTCGTACCTTCTTCTTCGTTATACGTATAATGAAATTACTTTGAGTGGGTAGAAAGAGATACTTTTTCTTTTTCAAATCAAATTATTCATTCTTCAGATTGAATTCGTTCTCATTTGTATTTATCAAAAGCATAACAAATCTAATATTATTATTATTATTGTTATTATCAGTTGATGTTAAGAATTTGAAAGTTAATGTTATACTGAAACCAACATAAAATCGTTTTCATTTTCAACTTTCCTACCCAATTTCGTTGATTTATTCTAACATTGTTTTTCCCCATTCACGTTTCGATTAACCTAAGGGTTTTTTTTTTTATTAGGTACTTATGGTTAGTATTTTATTCATTGGTCTCATGTAACTCTAGTTCATCTTAATTTTATGACATTAATATAATAATATCGGAATTATTGCATAATTAATGTAATTCCAGGTTATGTAACTTTTGTCCACCATTAACTCATTTGAGGTGTGGAATTTTCGAAAGTAAAATAACTCACGTTGCAGTTAGATATTTGATTTCTTTGTAATATTGTACAATGTTTGATTAAGTTGTTTGTTTCAAATGTTTCTTCAACACGTTGTTTTACACTGATGATTTATCGAAAGTACCTATAACCTAAATTTTGATCTCGTTTTTGTAATACAAGTAATCATAAATGATTAATGTTAAAATAATCTTTCAGTAAAATATAATTTACAAATGTTTAGACACCTGTTAACTGGGTTTAATTTGTTAATCGAATATTTGTTTTAATTCTTTCAATTATTTGTTTGTTTCACAAATTGTATTCTCATTTCATCGATTTGATTTTAACGAATCTAAAATTATAAATATGACAGTTTTTTATTTATTTATTTATTATTATTATTATTTTTTTAATAGGATTAGATAAAAATATAAGAAAATTTGAAGAAACAAATCAAGGTGGTAGAAAAGGGAGGAATGGGCCCTTGGGCCTTTGGCGTCCCTATCATCCTTGGCTGCGCTTCAGGTCTTCTCATTAACATCTACGTCCTACTCGTAGTACTTGGTCTTGGTAAACAGGTAAACATCAATTTTTGTTACATAATTTAACACCTATTTCTACCTAACAATTAAAAACAATTTTTACTAATTTTAACTTTTCAATTATTCACCTCCAGAAAGTTTCAATAACATGTTTCGTGCCAAGCCCTTTTTGTTTGACTTGTCTATCATTTGATTTTCAACGTATTCAATAAATTTGGTTACCACCGGTGGTACATGTGACCTGGAGGTCAGATTTAACGTGTACCACAGGTGGTACACGTGGCACGGAACGTGTTAAATTTCTCCCTAACCATTTTCCTTCTAATCATTGGATCTAAAAAGAGACATTAGTTTAAAATAAAAAATTAAATCACAGGATTAAAATAATGTTCAACTATAACAAATGTCAGTGTTATTTGTGAAAGATGAAAAAAGGAATTGTATAAAGTTCCTCAAGATTCGCATGATCGTTTGGTGTATTGTATGAAATTATTAATGTACAAAAATAAACCCAAATATTTGGTCTTTCACCAAAACATTATATCATCCCTTGACAAAAGATTATGCGAATTTTAACATCCCCCAATGTTAGTCTTTCACATGGTCTTTCTGTGTATTGTACGACATTGTTAATGTACAAGAATAAACCCAAATATTCGGTCTTTCACCAAAGTATTATATCATCCTTTGACAAACGATTATGCGAATTTTAATATTTTCCAATTTCAGTCTTTCACATGGTCGGTTCAATGTATTGTACAAAATGATTAATGTACAATAATAAACCTAAATATTCGGTCTTACACTAACGCATTTTATCATCTGTTGGCAAACGACCATGCGAATTTTGACATTCCCCTAAATTCGATCTTTCACCGTAATTTAAAACACGTTCCGTGTCATGTGTACCATTTATGGTACACGTTAAACTTGACCATCAAGCCACGTGTATCATAAATAAAAAGACCCTTTTTATTTGACCTAACCTCGTTTAGATTATTTGATTTTTAGCATAATTAAATGAATATGTCTGAGGGTACACGTTAAACTTGATTATTAGGCCACGTGCACCATAAATGGTACACTCAGAGACATTTAATTATGTTAAAAATCCAAATAACCTAAATGAGGTTAGGTCAGACAAAAAGGACTTTGTCACGTAACGTGTTAATTGTTACTAATTATAGTATAATTGTTAATAAATATTGGGTATTAGAGGTTTTTTTTTATTTTTCATAGACGCAGCAACAACAAACAGCAAACACGTTGTTATTGATTCATCTTGGTGTAGTTGAATCAGCCGTGTGTTTGATATTACTGATCTTTACTACTACACCTTGGCCAGTTGCCGGTAGCAGTTGGTGCGTATTTCACGGATTTCTTTTAGCCCTTTTACATCCCGTAGCATTGTGGACAGTAACGGGATTAAATTGTGATCGGTGAGTACTTTTAAAAATATCTAAACTTTTAAATCTAACTAATTAACAACTTGTCCTACGATTTAACTTCACGGTTGGGGTGCCGTGCGCTACAATATTGTACTTGTCGAAACAATATCACTGAGTTTACTATTATTTTCCATTTTGCACACAATATTGATTGATATGATGAAAATAATATAAAAATCTATTTACCACGTGTTCACCATGTCGATAGACGCTTGCAGTTTTGAAACAAAAGCATCTCGAAGTGCGTGGCACGTCTTTGTAGGGCAAGTGGTTAACACTAGATTTACGGAACCCCTCAAAATGACGGGTTTTCGATTGAATGCTTCTAAATTCTGAACATGCAAACATTATTCTTTAAATATTACATATTAGTTTTTAATTATATAATGCAGTGAATATATGGTCAAAATCATTTCTATTTCGTTTAGTTTATAGTTTTGATTTAATGTGAAGCATGATGAGAAAAATCTTTTATAGGTTAACTTTGAAATCCGCCATGTGTCATCTTTTTCTTTCTCTCTCTCTCTCTCTTTCTCTCTCTTTTTTTTAGCTTATTTTTCTTTTTCAGAATGTTGAATCGTTTAGTATTGTTCCATCGAGTTTTCCGATACATCGAGTTTCGACGGTTTTTCCATCAAAACTTTTTATTCACCCTTCCCCAAACCCAATAACAAAAACAATGGAAACTTTCGACTATTGTTTTCATTCAACTTGTTTTTCCCAAAAAAACATTTAACATTATTTTATTACAATTATTTTAATTAAAATCAAACATATATATTGCTCTGGCTTTATTATAAAATGTTAATTTATTATATAATTAATATAAATAATTAATTTTTATATAATTATAAATTATTTAATAAATTATAAAAACACACAAAATAATATCACAATTAAAATTAAATAAATAAAATAATAATACAAAAAGTAAGGTTATGTCGTATGTAAATTGAAATAATTGAATTGTAATACAACGTCCACCTATTGAAAACTTGCAGTACTTAAAAACCTAGATAATCATTAAATAATAAATCTTTAAATTAACAATAAAAAATAAAAATAATTGCAATAAAAACTATCTTATAATTTAAATTAAAAAAAAAAAAAGAAAATCATACAAAACTAAAAACACTTCATTAAGTTTAGTACAGTAGTTCCAAAAAGTTCATTAAAAATCAACAACGTCACACTGAATTTTAAGATATGTAACTCATTATACAAAATCAATGAATTAATTATTTATTGAAAACAAAAAAAAATAATTATATGGTTAAACAAAAAACCTTTTTACGTAATAATGAAAGAAAAAAAAGAAAAAAACTGTAAATGTCTTCTAACGACCGATAAATTTAGGTCTCTGTTTTATTCTTCAAGCATCGCTTGGCCCGTTGTCATATGAGAACGATATAAAGGACAACAAACTCTTTGATAAGAAATGTCAATAATGATGACATTCTCTATCTTATATGCTGTCAATTTCCAGAAGAACGGTTTGCCGTTTGATATGGAAGTATCAACTATTACACATCTCCTTTTCTCTTTACTCAATTCATTGGTCGTTCCATTAAACTCGAGGGGATAATAAGGGGGTGAATTTTAAGATGAAAAAAAGGGGAATAAAAGATAGAAAGAGAGAGAGAGAGAGAGAGAAATCGGTGCTTTAAAAGATAATTTTTCATTCAACAAAAGTATTATAATTATTGAACTAATTTAAATAATTGTTTGTTATAACAAATTATATTTGATAAAATGATATATGCTTTTTAAAAATAGATACTACGCCATTGCTGCACCATTGCATTATAGTGCATTGGTATCACCTAAACGAGTAATTGTCGGTTTGGCAGCTTCCTGGACTGGTGCTATTCTTTTATGTTTACCACCATTTTCCGGATTGGTACCACCTTACAGGTAATTTAGACAATTATTCGACCGAAATAATTAACCCTTTATACGTACGTTAAGATAAATCTATATAATGAGAAGATATTTTATAGGTTATGTACCCCACTTAAAATTGTATACATAAACTTAAATCATTTCTTTTTTTAATTCTTCTTTATTAATCCTTTATATGTACGTTAAGGACCAATTTGTATAATGAGAAGATATTTTATAGGTTATGTGTGTCGTCTTTAAAATTGTACACCTTAACTAAAATCATTTATTATGTTTCTTAATATTAAAAATTAAATCAAAATTATTTTTTGATACTTATTATATATTTAAATGATTACTTTTGATTAATTGCATCTAATTTTGCAATTAAATAATAAAAATATTAGGGGTTATCAAAAAGTAATGGTCGTTACTACACATGTCAAGTTATTTCTAATATTTTAAATCAAAAAAATCGATTGATGATTTTTATCGTTACGATATTAAAAATTTGTATACCAAATAGAAAAAGGTTGTTGATAACGTGACTCATTATTTTAGTTAATTGATTTAATTATTGATTAATAATAAAAACTTTTGTTTGTTTAAATTTTGAGGTTAAAAAGCGACATTACTTTCCAGTCCACTTAATATAAATATTGGATCATATATTTAGTTATTAGGTTAGTTGATATTAAGTAAGATGAACATTTATTTTTTTTTCTCTCGATAGGTACAGTCCAGGATTAGGTTGTTGCGCACCAGATTTTGGAAACGGAAGTTGGGGTTTCGCGGCTGTACTTTACGGTGCGATTTACGCGATTTTAGGTTTGGCATTACCGGCAATTCTCGTGACGGTATGCAATTTGCGAGTATTAGGTATAGCTCGTTATCATCGACATCGTATAGCTAGTGCAATTTACGAAGTTACTTTAAGCGCCCAAGTGACCATCACCCATCAACGAAATCCATTTTTCGTGCCAACTGTCACAGCACCATCGGCTGGTGGCCCTCCTCGTTTTCATAGCGCTGCCAGCACGGTTTGTACACGTTTTTTTTTTTTTTGTTATATTTAATTTCTTTATTTATTTATAAAAACAATCTCAGGACCCAATAATTTTCATTTTTTGAAAATACTGTGACAAATTGTTGACCTTTCGTTAAGAATTCAAACGAATTGTTAACCTAAAAATCAAATTTACAGTTCAATACTATGAAAAATTTGTATGTCAATCTTTGAAAAGATAAATTGATTCTTATTGGGTAGGAAATGAGAAAAATGATGAACTTTTATAGGTTATGCAACTAGTTGGTTCATTATATTTGCTGTATTTTCCCTATTGCGGATTTATACTTTGGGAATCCTGCGGAGCCGGTAATCAAAATCGGGTCCAGGCACATCCTCGTTTAGCCTCATTGGCATCTGTCCTTCTTGCCTGTTCTCCACCCATTAATGGTCTACTCTATGGTCTCAAATCACAGACTCTGAGACGATTCGTGAAAAATTATTGGCGTAAAAAAGCTACCAAGTCAGAGTTGCAACAGGTAATTTAATTAAATGCAATCTAATTTTTGTTTGGGAATTTATTCAAAATTGGTTGGACAATTTAATCGAAAAAAAGGCGGGAAAAAATTTAAAAAAAGAAACAAACAAATCATCGTTGGGTCGAATTTTAGGAGATACAAGCAAGAACACCAAGCGTTGCGGGTTCGAGAAGACCATCGGGAAGTGGAACCAATTCGTTTTTTCCATTCCCACCTTTGCAACGACGACTGAGCGAGGCACTTTTAGCAATTGGTAATTGTAGAACAGTAAATAGCATCGAACAAGGAAATATTCATTTTCATCGTACGAGATTACAACCAGCAGCATCGTGTAACACGCTTAGAGTACCGTCAATGGAATCAGGTAAAGAAACAGATGTGTGTAGATCACACACGGTAGAAGTGAAACCTTCAAAAAACCAAGCTTCGAGACATGAATATATCGAAATAATTAAATTGGAATGCAGCACCATCTATTGAAAGCTTACAGAACCTAAATATCAAGATATAAATTGGGTCACGCGAAATAAAAAAAAATTTCATTAAGATCGGTCCAGTAGTTTCAAAATTCATTGGAAACCAATAATGTGGCACTGAATTTTTATCTATAGAATAATTTTGTTTCTTTTTAGTGATACATTTTCGTTTCATCGGTTTCACGTTCTTCCGTTTCACGATTTTCAAATCACCCCGATTCTAAAGAAGTTTTCACTTCAATAATATTGGTTTGGTTAAAAATGATACAAACAAATCAAAAATGTAAAAAACAATCGTTTATAGGTGAAAGTGGAAAATTGGTGAGATCCAGCGCTAGTGCGGCTAGTTTAATGGGTCCCCATTATCGTAACGATTTTACGGGAAACGAAATTGGAACTAACCGTTCCATGTCTACGAACGAAACACCCAGACGAAGTCCAAGAATTCTAATAACCCGTGCATGCAGTGAGGAAAGCCAAAATGGTGGGAGCCCACTTCGGAAATCATACTTTCCTAACTCGGCCCATCCACCCTGTGAAAGTACATTTGATTTATTTCCTTTTAAACTTATCGTCGTTTATATCCCATCCATTATTATTACATAATTTGCCTTACAATAGAATCAATTTGTTTCTTTCTGAGAAATCATTTTTATAAATATATATATATATATATATATATATATACGTCATTTAACATAAATTTGATTCTTCTATTGTATAGGCAAATTGTTTATCTCTCGATTCTATGCCAAACGTTATCATATTATCTTTTTTAACGATTTACCAAGAACGTAGATGGAGATACTGTAGTACCGGAAGCGATAGTAGTACCGGAAGTAGCGAAACTAATGTTTGGACCACTGGGGTCGCACAAAAAATGGGAAAGAATAATGTGAAAAACATGGCGGACAATTGGCCAACTAGTCGACGATTAATACGCGTTAAAACGTTGGAAGAGGATTCCCTTTCAATTGGTATAAGGCCTAACAATAACAGCGAAAGTAGCGACACGACTGATACAACGGCAACTACAACAACTACAACTTTACCGATCAAGACGCGAACTCTTGTAAGTAAAAATGTTTCACTGACTCATCGTATTTAAATGTTTATTTCTTTTTTTAACTTTTGTATTTAATTATATGCGTTGCATTGTAAATGATATTTTGTATAAAATAATGTTTATCATTATTTACATCATTACTGTTTATTTTTGTTTACAGTATTAGTAAATAATCCTTTAAATAAAATCGTTTGTCCTTATTTAAGATAATAAATTTGATAAAATGTTTTCCAATAAAGATAATTTGTATAATTGCAGTATAATTTTGAAAAAGTAATTAGACACAAAGTCACAATGATATTGGTAATTGTTGTTAAACTTAAACAATTCTAATCTAATCATCAAAATATTCATTTATACATTTTGCATTTATTTTTCGTTAAACACTCGTAGCGATGAAGTTATTTTCTATATTAAATTAAATTGTATAACATCGTACAAATATAAATCATTAGATGGCACTGATATCGCGCACGGTCCCAAAAACTGTCCAATATTGAACAAAATTTAACAACATGTATACCGTTCACAAAAACGCAAAGAGTTTCTATAAAATCCAAGAAAATTTTTTCTAAATTAAATTATATAATATCTTACCAAAATAAATTATTTTGTATGATTACAAATTACCGCCATTTTTCCAACATTACATGACACTATCCACTAATAATAAGACCCATTTCCACGATAATTTCTAATTAATAATACATACCTCAATATATACAGGAGGAGGATAACGAAGAAATCGATACGAGAAATAGAAAAGTATCGAGAAAAAAGGTTGATCGGAGGGATCAAAGCGAAAGTGAAAACAGCTGGAGTAGCGTGGAAGAAATCGAAATGAAAGAAGTAACGGAGAAAAAAGAAAAGGAAAAGGAAAAGGGAATGGTACTGGAAAATGAACTGGGAGTGGGAATGGTTGAGGAGGAAGGAGAAGATGGAGACGAGATGGAAAGGCAAATATCGAAAATATCTCGAAAAAAGAGAAAAATAATGCGTCATTCCGAGGATTCTGAAGATCGAGATGATGCAGCACAACTTAGGCCACTTTTGACTCCAACTTCTTAAATTTTTGTAATCCAACATTGCATCCTAATTGCAAGGATGAAATTGAGATCGAATTTTGTTTCCTCTCTCTGATCAAATTTTTCATTAATTTGAAACATAATATCGAATACCGGATACCAGTAAACGATTAATTAACAAAGATCAACTGAAATCAATGTGTATATCTAATATTAGGTTAATAATACGTTTAAACGTTTATTCACAACCCACGTACATGATTGGTCAACGCGTTAAACAACAGTTTATTTTGACTCGTTTACTCTACCCATACATAACCTAGAAAATATTCGATCGATTAATTATATACTTGTGCATGTACGTAATCGGTTTAAAAAAAAAAAAAAAAGAAATACTCGGTTTATATTTAAATTAGAAAATAATGAATTAGAGGTTAAGTTGTTTATTCGAAAGTTCATTATATTTCTTCTTCTACTTCCTCTTCTTTTATTTAATGAAACATTCCTAACTAGATAATAAATATAATCTTTTTTTTTTTTTGTAAAATATAATTAAAAGAAGATGATAATGACGATGAATAATAGTATTGGAATTATTCAAATTTATCGTGTGAAGAAAAAGGGGGAAAGATTTGATTATATTCGAATAATAAAATTTCATGAAAAAACTACCTCCGACCTATTACGTCATAACATTTTAATGAATAAAAGGAAACGGTTAAATATTTTTTTTTTTTTTCAAATATTCTTTAATGCGACAAACATATTATTTTGTTGTTTGTTCTTTTTTTTTGGCAACACCAAGGCAAGACGACGGTTATCCCGATGGCCTCGATTATTTTCTTTTTACGATCGAAAAATAACAAATCGATACTATCGAATGAAACTAAAATGAAACGAAAATGGTCAAAATGAAAAAAAAAAAAAAAAAGGAGAACCACCCTCTCCATTGTAGGTGTTCGAAAGATACCAACACAACCACATATAGTTCCTACAATTTTGCGAATTAATTCGTTTCAAGATGGACGAAAAAATAATAATAATAATAATAATAATAATAATAATAATAATAAAAAGAAGAAAGAATTTAAATAAAAAAACACAATCGTTGAAAGATTCATTCAAGCGTTTGTTTTTATTTCTATTTTATTTATTTGTTTTGTTTGTGTATTTTTTAAACGACGCAGCAACGCCGAATATTTCGATTAATTGTAAAAAAAAAAAAATAATAATAATAATAATAATAATAATACAAAATCGTGAATATTAAATTTAAGATTTTAGATAGTTAGATATCACGTGATTTGCTATTAAAATAAATGTTTAATAGCGAATATATTTCCTTCCATGTAAATTCATTCGAATTTAACTCGAATAAGATAAGACAATAGATGAAACTAAATTGTTGAACACAAATTTTAGTAGTACTATATATATATATATATAAATGTAAGAGAAAATATAAATTCTATTTCTATCATGATGAATTAGATTAATAAAATGAGGGACTCATTTTTAGTCATTTTGTTCATATTACAACGTTAGATCGATGTTAGATATAATCGTATGGCACAAGGTCAAACAATTCTTCTATCGCGTGCTATTAGTCCTTTAATAATCTTCTAATGACACCTAATATGCATATATATATGTATCGAGGGTGTATCCGGATGGGTGGTACAATCATTTTTTGCATGTTCAAATAAATCGAAAAGAATTCATTTCAACATTTGCTTCATTTTTCTTTTTTTTCTTTTTATTTTTACTATTTTTTTGATTTTGATTTTGATTTTAATTTTGATTTTTATTGAATTTTATTTTGATCTATTTTATTTTCATTCTTATTTTTATTTTATTTTATTTTGATTTATTTTAATTTTTAATTTTATTTCCATTGATTTTGATTTTAATTATTTAAATTAATTATATAATTTAATATTTGATTTATTTAATTAATTTTAATTATTTAAATAATTATTTAATTTAATATTATTTAATTTTTAAATAATTTTTATAAATTTTATTATAAATTATATTATAAATATAATTATATGTTATATTAATATAATTATATTATAAATATAATTATATTTTTTAATATTAAATTTATATAATTTAAATTAATTTAATTAAATATTAAAATTTTATTATTTATTACATAAATTATTACAACAATTATTCAAATGACAAAAGCAGTAATTAATTTACTACAAGCATAGTTTCTTCCATGTTTCTAACAAAGAACCTTCCCCCACTCCTTTCTAAATGGGAGAAAAGGAAAATTAATTTAATCACCCCTCCGGATGGTATATGCTCCCTCAATCCTGAATAATGTAAACCCTATTGTTATAATAGTTTCTTGAAAGAATTGTTTCACGTTAGAATTTTAATTAACAATTAACCCCTCACCCTTCACTCATCTCATTTAATCATTAGAAAACGATGACCTTAGAATAAAATATAATTTAATTAAAAATGTAAAAGAAATGCGGCGGCGTCAATGGTCACTCTTTTTTATTTTTAACGTATAACCTAAAATTATTAATATATGTGTGTGTGTGTGTGTGTGTGAGAGAGAGAGAGAGAGAGAGAGAGAGTATATGAGTGTATTTGTTATAATATTATACACAATTTTTAAAGAGTATAATAATTGTTCCATTTTGTTGTCTAAACTAACATATTATTTATGTTTTCAATGAATAAAAACTCTTAATTAGTTTTTTTTTTTTTATAATATAGTAAATTAATACAAATATTTATTAATAATATATAAATATTTATATAGAAAATATAATTTAGTATATTAAATTATTCACTGTAGGAAATTATATAATTTATTGTATAAAATTATTTACACTATATGAAATGTTTATCATATAAATTTATTTATTATATTTTTTTTTTATTATATAAAAAATTTACCATATAAAATGTTACTATATATAAAATATAAAATTATTTATTATATAAAATTATATGATTTATCGTATAAAATTATTGACAATATATAAAATTGTATAATTTACTCTGTAAAATAATTTAATATATGAAATTATATAATTTACTATATAGAATTATTTATTATATAAAATTTTTACTATATAAATTTATTTATATATATATTATATTATATTTTTTTTTATTATATAAAAAATTTACTATATAAAATGTTACTATATATAAAATATAAAATTATTTACACAATATAAAATTGTATAATTTATCATATAAAATTATTTACACAATATAAAATTGTATAATTTATTCTGTAAAATAATTTATTATATAAAATTATATAATTTACAATATAAAATATAAAATTATTTATTATACGAAATTATATATAATTTAGTATATAAAATTATATTTACTATATAAAATTATATAATTTACTGTATAAAATTACTAAAAAAAAAAAAAAAAAAAAAAAAAAAAAAAAAAAAANAAAAAAAATAAAAAATAAAAAATAAATATAAATTTTATATTCTAAAGTTAAAATATTTATATTTACTTTAATTAAATGACTTAATTAAAGTTACTTAATCAAAGTAAAAATAATATTAAAACATCTTTTCGTGTTGCTTATGTCTTTTGTTTTTTTTTTTTTTTAATTTTCTTCTTTCATTTTATTCTTATTTCTTTTTTGTTTTTTTCTCTCTTTTTCTTGTTATTGTTATTATCACCGAGACATTTTACACGAAATTATCGATCGAAACTACCGCGAAAATCAAATATCCGTCTATTAACGTCCCTCGCGTTAAAATTATTTTTAGTTTATCGAGTTCGGTCATACCTTGGTCGACACTATTTCAATTAGTATGGGATAATCGAGTTTCATCTCGATATATCGAATCGTTCCTAATCCTGTAAAATACGAAGTAAGTTTTCTTTTTCTTTTTTTATTCTTTTTTTCCTTTTTTTTTAAACTAAACTTCGATCAATTATCTAACAAGTCTGATTGACAAATGCCAGCAAGAACGAATGAATGTTACAAATGTAATCTTAAATTTCACGTATATTACGTGTAAATAATTATCATAATTAATAATAATAATAATAATAATTGTTAAATGGATTAGTTTTGTCATCTTTCAAATCAGGAATTGAATTTTATTCTCTTTGAAAAAAAAAAAAAAGAGAAATGGAATATAAACAGACAAACATTTTTGTCAATTGAGAATTTGAAACAAAACATTTTGTTATTTAAAATATGTTTTATGGTGTTGTTGTTGCTGTTGTTATTGTTTTTATTTTTTTTTTTTCATCGAGTATCACAGATACCCACAGATTATTGCTTAAAAGGGGAGAGAAAGGGTAAATAAAACTTTGACTTTTATTGACTTTCTCGAAATAAGGAAGCTTCGTAGTTTTTTATCAAACAACGAGTTAGTTGGAAAGAGAGAGAGAGAGAGAGAAAGAGAGAAATAGGAATCCGTAGGTCGGGGCTTTAAAAGGACTTGAGGTACCAAGAGGTACCTTGGCTCTTGGTTCATCGCAAGTGGTTCATTATTCTCGTTTTCCCTAATGGCTTCCCTCCGAGCTATTATTCGTTGCAATTATCTCGCCTTACTCTGCGAATTGAAATCGTTGAGTCTCATTTAGACGCACACGGTTTATCCAAATCTTACAAAATATATTTCCTTTAAATTCAAATTAAATCAAACTTTTCTTTTTTTTTTTTTTTCATACTTTTAATCATAACAATTCGTTTAATCGAACTTGTAAAATCTTTTCTAAACATTTTCTTATACAAAAGTGCTTTATATATATATATATATATATATATATTTGTAAAATAATATTTTTGTTGGTTTTCTTTTTAATTTAAATTATCTTTCATTTTATATTTCAACTATTTGCAATTTAGAAATTTGAATTTGCAAATGAGGACTTGGAAAACTTTCAAATACTAACTTTTATTGGATTCAATTGATTTGTAATGAAAATGTCAGCCATTTTCTGTCCGTTTATATATATATATATATATATATATATATATTTGTAAAATAATTTTTTCTTGGTTTTCTATTAAATTATCTTTCATTTTATTTTTCAACCAAATATAAATTGAGATTTGTAAATGAGGATTTGGAAAACTTTCAAATACTAACTTTTATTAGATTCAATTGATTTGTAATGAAAATGTCAGCCATTTTCTGTCCATTTATATATATAACTAGAAACATAACCTATATTTTTTAATCAACAAACATTTTCTCGAAACAAAAGCCATTTTTAATCTTTAAACATACAACGATTTATTATTGTAATTTAAATTATCCTAAAATAAATGTACATAATCAAAATGACATATATATATGTATATAAATAATCAGAAACATAACCTATATTTTATAATTAACAAATAAATACACAAACCTATAATAATCTCGAATTGATAGAAAAAAAATTGAATATACATACATCACTTTCAAATTAAACGATTTGTAGAAATACAAAACGTGTTTATAAATTGTTGTCCTTTTTTATTTTGAAATGAGGAAGACAATGAGAAAGATGATGGGGTATGGGTAGGGTAAACAAAATAAGAGTAAACGTGAGCAACAGATGATATTGACAGGTAGGCAAGTAGATGGGCAGGTAAGCCCATGGGCAGGGTAGACAACAGGTAAGCTGTAGGATCAAAGAAGAAGAAGAAGAAGAAGCTTCGTAGTTCGTCGTACCTCTTACCCAGAGATATTACCTGCATCTATATGTGGGTATTCACTGTCGCCAAACGATGAACCGGTTCAGTGTGGCGCCGACATTTGGGACGATCGTACGCATTACGAGAATGCTATACTCAATCAGAGTATCTCGCAATTGCTTTGATAAAACTGTATAACAATTTTCTTATTTGTCCGATATTTAAAGAAGAAAAACACGAGACCAAGTGAAAGAAGAAGAAGAAGAAGAAGAAGGAAAATTCCAAACGGTAGACTAACTTTGTTTATTTTCTTTTCACATTTTTACTTTTTCCGTATTTTTTATTTTTTTTTTTATCCAAATATCATCAAATCACTTTTCGTTTATTCGAGATTTGTTTTTTTTATCATCATCATTTCAAATATTTTTCATATTTTTTTTTTTTGTTATTTAAAAATCTGCCCCATCACCGGATCGGTAAGAAAAATACCTTTTCAATAAAATCACGTTATCAATTGAATTTTTATTATTAATAATTGAATTTTTAATTTTATTCGAATGATTATTATTATTAATTTAATTTAATTTAATTTAATTTTTTTTTTATTTTTATTTTAACGATAATGATGTGATCAAATTAAATTTGTTTAATATTAACGATAATATTATGGTCATATTCTTTTTCCTCTGTCTGTCCGTACGTCTCTCTATCTTTTTCTCTCTTTCTCTCTCTCTCTCTCTCTCTCTCTCTTTCTCTCTTGGTAAATAATAATAATAATAATAATAATAATAATAATCTCGGAACACCGATCTGAAGGAGTTAGGGAAACGTAAACGTTTTATGTTATTTTTTTATACATATATATATATATAAAAGTTAAAATCATCAATTCATTAAAGTGTAGAAATTCAATTAAACTCGTGGAAAACCCTGACGAATAAATACGTCTGAATGTTCGTCTTTCGAAATGGGAATAGAGAATTTTGAGAGACGATTGGACGTATTTTTTTTAAGTGAACCAACCAAAGACTTCTCGTTCGAGAATAACCTTAGGAAAAGAAGAAGAAGAAGAAGAAGAAGAAGAAGAAGAAAAAAAAGAAGAAAATAAAGAAGATGGAAAGGAGGAGCAGCCTTATGTATACATTCGAACCACCTCAACAACCAAGGTAACTGAAGCTCTACGATATTTCTATTCTTTTTTTTTTTCATTTCTTTCTTTCTCTTTTCTACGAGCTTTACTTCATTCTATTTTTAATTTCTCATTTCTCCACAACGTAATAGTATTAGTCAAATAATATCTAAATACGATATTTTTATCTTATCAATCATTTCTACCATTTCGTTCAAAAATATTACGGAGAAGTAAAAATACAAATTCGTTCGTACGTTTAAGTTTTTTATTACAAATTGTATTATTAATTTTTTTAAATTGCATTATAATTTTTTCAAAATTGTATTATACATATTGTATATATATATTATATAAATTTATATTATTTTTTATAATATTATAAAATTTTAATAATATTATAAAATATATATATATTATTTTATATAGTTTATAATTTATATATTAACTATATAAATATATATATAATAATAATTTATATATTAACTATATAAAAACCGATATTATATATATA